ACCTCTGAACACTTAAGTTACGCATTACACAACATCTTGCAACCTGTTTATTAAACCGTCTACGCCTGTGAGATCTGCCGGATATATCTTGTCCGAAATGACATCCTGTTGGTTGCAAGCTAACTTCGTGTTCAGATATTATATTCATAGATGTGAAGACAAATGCTTTCGCTACTTGTTTTCGTGTATAGTATGGGTGTCAATGCAGTTGAAGATTGAACGATCAATTCATGGTTGTTTGCTCAAAACCAACTTCCCCAATTTTCGCGGGGGCATCAATACACCAGTCATCGTCTCATCGGTCGCTGTTCAGAAAGAAGTCAGGCCAAACTGTCAGAAGTAATATTGTGATTTATTATTGTAATATTTGTTCACAGACTTTAGTTGTTATAGTGTTTATATGTTGGTGTTACAATAAAGAGTTCTCGAGTAGCAAATCGGTGTTTTGGTTTTGCGTCCGTTATTACTAAGCGTTTCTGAGAAACTTCAAGGGACAGCGTGAGCCCGAGTGCAGCAAGAGCTTGGCATTGACGGTTTACGAGACGTGGCTGGCAGTTTCTGACACTGAAGTCAGTTACTGACGGCGGAAACATTTTCTGACGGATTCAGATAGATGGTGAAAGTTTGGATATTCACCATTCATCTTTGCTGGTGCCGGTCAAGTCCTCTTTGAACAAGCAATATCTGGAACGTTTTTGGAATTGGGTCAAGTTCAACAATGCCTGGGTCAAAGAAGGGACAGAGCGTCTGGGATGAAAACAGGAAAGTAAGTCATTGTGACTTGTCTGTTAATTGTAACGATGTATCTGATGTTAAATATGACATGGTTGATGTTACTGTTTCGCCGTTCAGGGATAATAGGAACATCAAACTCCCTAAATTTGAACCACGGTGTTTCGATGGAAACCTGGCTGATTATTTACAATTTGTAAAGGAGTTTGAGATCATGCTGAGTAGTTTTCTATTAAGTGATGAATTGAAGTTATTGTATTTGATGAGATATTGCATTGGAGATGCTGCAAGAGCTATACAGTGCTGTAAGTTTATGAAGCCGAAAGAGGGATACTACAAGGCTATGAGCATACTACGTCAAAGGTTTGGAAGACCTTCGATGATTGTAGGGAAATTATTCGAGGCTATTAAGGGTAATGGTGGTCAATTACAGGATGACTCCCAGGCACTCACTGAGTTTTTGGATAATTTGCTGATTTACAAGAATGCATTGGTTTCGATGAATTGCATGAGTGACCTCAACTCGAGTTTTATCCTAAAAGTAATAGCAAGACGCCTACCTACCCGACTGCAAAGGAAGTGGGTGAGGATAAGCTCCCGTATGGAGGATGAGGGTATCGAGCCAAAGTTTGATGATATCCTGAAACTGGTAAAAGATAGCGTCAATCTATCTATGAGCAAGTTTGCCAGTATATTGAATCTCACCCCTAGAATAGAGCAGTCTGAGGGTAAAACGCAATCATTGATGACGAATAGGCCTCAGAGAGGTGGATACCGAGAAGGCTCCATGATGTCTAGTAATGCATATAGGCCTAGTGAGTGTAACAGGTTTCGTAGTACATCCTCAACAGATAAGTTACAAGATGCAAGACAAACACGGTTGTGTTTTACACGTTTGCAAGAGGTGCATACAGAGGTGAACTGTGAACCAGTGAGCAAGTTCAGTGATAAGCTAAATGTAAACTCCAGGCCTGACTCCAAATTGTGTGACGATAACGGTGTTGTGAAGAAGTCTGTAGTTGCAGCTGGTAAGCCATTGTTGAATAGAGTGTCACAGAATAGAGTTGCTGCTTCAGAGTGCAGTTCTGACTCCACAAGTTTACAAAGTATTACTAGTCAGAGTGAAGGTATGAAATCTTTAGGGATTTGTGAGGAAGAACCCAAATCATCTACTGCTGTTATTAAAGAGTTTGAAAATGATGAACTTTACGGTAAATTGAATATTTGTGATGATGATCATGATAGTGCAGATTTTTCTTTGGTTGATCATGATGAAATGAGGGTAGTGCCTACTACTGCTAAGTTAAATAAGGGTTCCGTACAGCTCAAAGGTGAAGTAGAAATAAATGAAGATGCAGTTGCAGAAGGCATACACTCTTGTGAGACCGTCAGTGTGATTGATCAGCATGTAGCCCACCTATCATCAGATTTTAGTGCTAAACCTGAGCTGATAGTAAAAGACAGCAATGGTGGTGGTCTTGCAGGTGGACAAATTTCTCAAAGCCGAGCAACAACAGCTTCTGATCCACCGCTAAGTTCATCAACTGGTATCAATCAGTCGTCGTTGGTGTTGTCATCCACAATGAAACAGACGCCCATCAACTCAAGTATCTTGTGCAATGACTTTGATAGTATTGGTGCATTTGAAAAGACGAAAGATATTGCTCAGTTTAGTGAGGATAAGCCAAGTGTGAACGAGAGAGTAATTGTTAAATTGACTTGCACGAATAAAGGCATTTCTAGTTTCAAGTTACTATTTGAATGCTATTATCTTTGGTGTAAATTACTCTGTTTCTACGCTTGGTTGACCAGATACTTCGTGTGTTTGTTCGTCATCTATGTTCAACGATACAATGACATGAGCGTGTTACCGTTCAGATTTGAGGATATAGTTGATAGAAGGAAATCAGCAAATGAACTCTGCAACGATTTTCCAACCTAGGGCGTCAACCTGAGAAGGGTTGTAGGCGTACTGCTGTAAGTCCTACAATTCTTCAAAGGGTAGCGCATCGATGAGCAGTACAATGTGCTTGGTGTGTGATTTTGTACATAAGTTCATGTTGTATATACTGAATTGGCATCATCTTTCATCTGTCTGTTGATAATTTTGTTTGTGTCTGGACGTCTTTCACTTGTATCATCAACCTGAGAAGGAATGTAGGCGTACTGCTGTAAGTCCTACAGTTCTTCAAGGGTAGTTTTTCGTGTCAGAATCCACAACATTTATGTGGTGATTGTACATATGTTTGTGTTAAATAGTTGTGTGAGTTCCAATTATTGTAATTGTTGAATAATCTTCTTTGTGTCCGGACATTCCACAACTTACAATGGTCAACCTGTGAAGTTTTGTAGGCGTACTGGTGTTAGCCCTGCGATTCTTCAAAGGCATTCCATCAAGACATGAACTGCGATTTTGTGTGTACTGTTTGTATATATGTGTGGTGTGTCATATTAGTTGATGTTTTCGGATTCACTGTGTTCACTTGTTGTTTTCGTACCTTGTTATTTTGCATAATTTTGTTAAAATTTTCGTCGTGCTTACTTCTGAAGTTGCTTCGAGTCTTCTACATCCGTGAATGAATTGATCGGTGTTAAAGACAGCAGATCGGTCGTATACGCCTGGGAGGTTAGTGGTGAGAATGACGTGCACATGGAGATAAGGATTATCTGTGGAATCAATGGTTGAGAGTGACTGTTTCTATTTAGGCCGTGGTCCCACACGCCGGGGAGCAAGAATGTAGACGACTGAGGCTTGCATACGTCACCGTTACTAGAACTGAGGCGGAATGAGTGACAAGCGATCGCAATGGTAATTGATAGTGAATAGATAAGGGGATGTGCGAAGAGCATCATGAGGTGCTGTTATGATCATGTTGCTTTCCGCAATAGTCATTCTAGCGAGTGGTGATTTTGTTGCAAGATGTCAAGAGGATGTCTTTCACTGGAAGGCGTAGATCGTCTTCGATGAGTGAGATTGTGCTGTGGGTATGCCTGTGGTGTGTTGGGTTGGCTGTTTGTTTTCCATTTCAGCCTTCTGCGTGTGACCCAACTTCTCGCACTGTGTGTACTGTTTCTATATACGTGTTGTATGTCATATCAATTGGTGTTTTTGGATTGATTGTGTTTACTCGTTGTTTATCTTACCTTGTTGTTATTGCGTAATTTTGTTAAAATTTTCACCGTGATTACTTCTGAAGTTGTTTCGAGTCTTCTACATCCGTGAGTGAATTGATTGATGTTAGAGACCGCAGATGGCTCGTATACTCTGGGGAAGCTATTGCTGGAAATGAAATGCACACGGGGATAATTGAACTGTATGATGACAACCTTATCTCACTAAAGGACTTTATTTTATTTCGTCAAGACCGTCAATGTTGTAATAAGAAAAATGGTGGTGGCGTTGCAACTTTTATTCACTCCAAATGGTCTGTCTCAAATAACGTCTGCTTCACCTTCTCAAATGACTTCATTGACTGTATTACTGTCAAATGTCGCCCCAAAATATCCCCAAATATAAACAATTCTATATTACAAACATGTACATTTCTCCTAGTTGCTCTCCATCTGATCTATCTAATTTTGCTGATGAATTCACCATGTTTGCTGCTGCCAACTTCGACAACTCTCTATCCGTTATTACTGGAGACTTCAACACATCGGATTGCTCCTTTCTTGAAGCTCTTGGTCACACAAACATAGTCAAATTTCCCACTCGACTTGACAAAACACTCGACCTCGTTTTTACTAATGACGAAGGAGTATATGAAACACGTAGACGTTCACCGATACATAACTCCGATCACTGCATTGTCCGCGTTTTGCCAAAAATATACAGCAAAACACATATTAAAATCTTCTCACACCTGTCTACGAGAGCACAAGAAAGATGCTACACATCTGACAACTTACTCAATCTAAGATGCATGTTAAAAGATACCAACTGGGATCTATTCTATGAAAGTACATTAGATGACTCAATCACCAATATAATGGATTATCTTAAGTTCTGCCTCGACATATGCTGTCCCAAACAAACACTGTTCAAACGCCTCGACCGCTTCTCGTCTCCCCGTCTCAAACAACTTCGCAGGCAAAAAGAAATGTTATATAAATGCAAAGACAAGTTAGGACTTAAAAAGATTAATGCTCAAATCAAATCTGAAATCAAAAATCTTAATGCTATCTATAACCAAACACTTTTATCATGCAAATCTCCTAACAGCATGTGGAAACTTTTCAATGAAATTACTGGCAAAAGTAAGCGATGTAATGTTTTTCCCTCTTGTGATGTTAATGCTCTTAATCTGTCTTTTTTACGCTCTCCTTCTACTATAACCACTTCTAACGTTACTAATCTTGTAGCTGATAACTTCCAGGACTTCAATACTCTCGATGTTTTGAAATGTCTTAAAACTCTTAAGCCCTCACATAGTCTTGGCCCTGATGGCATACCTGCATATGTTCTAAAACAATGTGCAGATGCTTTATGTTTTCCTCTAACTAATATCCTAAATGCTTCTTTCTCCGAAAACGTTGTACCTGTTCCATGGAAAGACATTAAAATAGTCCCTGTCCCTAAACCTGGAAATAGCAAGAACGTAAAGTTCAGACCCATCGCCATCACTTCCCCGTTTCTAAAGCTCATGGAAAAACTAGTACTTCTTAAACTCGAACCCTCCCTTAAAAGCTTCGAAGACCCCAAACAATTTGCCTACAGACAGGGTAGGAGTACTTTAGACGCTGCAGCCGTCTTACACAACAGTATTGTCTCATCATTAGACAAAGGTGCCAAATATGTCCGCTGCACGTTTCTTGACTTTACTTCTGCTTTCGACTCTGTACCTAGAAGTCTCTTGCTAAATAAGCTCTCCATGACACAAACCGAGTCCTGGGTCACTAACTGGTTGCATTCCTACTTTTCAAACAGAATGCAGTACACCGTATACAAAGGCCAATCCTCCTCTGCTGTGCTCACAGAAGCTGGTGTCCCCCAAGGTGCTGTACTCTCCCCACTTCTCTTTTCTTTCTTCCTACATGACCTACCGTCTTCAAATGACATTAACTTTGTCAAATATGCTGATGACCTAACTGTATCTTTACCTGTCAAATGTCAAAGTGACTGCTCTAAACTAAATGGCTTCTTATCGGAAATTAGCCAATGGTCCAAGGAAAACGGTCTAACCTTAAACCCCTCCAAATGCCAAACAGTTAATTTCACCCTTAGGCATAAATCTGACCTAAACAAACTGGTTAGCACTCACGAGGTGTGCAACATAGATGGCAGTGAAATAGAAACCAAGTCGGAAATTAAATACCTAGGCGTCACTCTATCTTCTGATCTTTCCTGGTCGTCTCATATCTTGACGATTTCCAAGAAAATATACCGTCTTACCTTCTACATCAAGAAGTTAAGACATTCTGGTGTAACCCAACCCTTACTCTTACAATTTGTTAACTCCCGTATTCTGCCTATTATTCTCTATTGCTCCCCCTTAGTCTTTCCTGGGCTATTGAAGAAAGACTATACCTTATTACGTAGGATGTTAAAGGTTGTCAGCAGGGTAAGCAGTTTGCCACTTAGCCAGCTTGTTAATATTCTGGTGGACAGGCATATGGACTCATGTGAAAAATGGGCGAAATCCATTTTATCTGACTCACAACACCCTCTACATTCACAACTCTCCCCATGTATCTCTTCAGGGAAAACAAGAAGCCTATATAGGAAACTATATGCCCGCACTAGTAAGTACAAAAACTCATCCATACCCTACCTAGCCCGTGTTCTGTGCGATAAAGAATGCATCAGGCATGAAACCTTTAACTTATTAAATAGTCAGTAGAACCAATGGATCTCGTCTTTCCAACTCACATCATTTATAGGTACAACGTTTTCTCGCTCTTCATTCTGTATTTATTTTTGTTATGTGCTGTTTTGTTTCTCTCTTCCTTGCAAACTCTACTTAAAACATTCTTGTTCGTTCTTTCACACTCTGTATATCTCGACCATTTTGCTATCGCTTACGCCAGTAAATATGCTAGTAGTATCTACTTTTCTAACACCTTCAAACACTTTAATTTTGGCTTTGCTACCGACATACTAATATGTTGTTGAGATAACTTTAATCTATGTAGAACTTTATTTATTGTTAATGTAAAAAACTGGATGCAATATTGTAGTAAAATGCTGAGAATTCCATTCTGTATCACAAGTACTGATTTGGAATAAAGCTTATGTTATGTCATGTTATGTTAGCTGCGGTCCCACACGCCGGGGAGCGGGAGTGTAGACAACTGAGGCTTGCATACGTCACCGTTACTAGAATTGAGGCAGAATGAGTGACAAGCGGTTGCAGTGATAATTGGTTGTGAGTAGATAAGAGGATGTGCGTAGAGTATCATGGGTTGGTGCTATGGTCACTTTGCATTCTGCAAGAGTCATTCTAGCAAGTGGCGATTGTGTTGCAAGATGTCAAGAGGAGGTCTCTGTCTGGAGGCGCAGGTCGTCATCGATGTGTGAGATTGTGCTGTGGGTATGCTTGTGGTGTGTTGGCTTTTCTGTTTGTTTTCTATTTCAGCTCTGTCCGTGTGACCCAGGTTCTCGCAATGGCATCCAAGTCAACGTGTATTGGTCGTGAAGGAAAAAAGGGTTGGATCCGTTGTTTGCCGAGGAGTGTCAATGTAGTTGAAGATTGAACGATCAATTCATGGTTGTTTGCTCAAAACCAACTTCCCCAATTTTCGCGGAGGCATCAATACGACAGTCATCGTCTCATCGGTCGCTGTTCAGAAAGAAGTCATCAGAAAACCGTCAGAAGTAATATTGTGATTTATTATTGTAATATTTGTTCACAGACCTTAGTTGTTATAGTGTTTATATGTTGGTGTTACAATAAAGAATCCTCAAGGCGCCAATTGGTGTTTTGGTTTTTTCGTCCGTTATTACTAAGCGTTTCTGAGAAACTTCAAGGGACAGCGTGAGCCCGAGTGCAGCAAGAGCTGAGGATTGACGGTTTAAGAGACGTGGCTGACAATGGGTTATCATGTTCATGCTTGTGAAGGCGCCATAAGCGTCTGATTTCGTGAGAATTGGGAGTGTTTAACAGTGTTACGCTTCTAATAATAATAATAATAATAATATATATTCTCATTTTTTACATGAGGGACGCCAGTTTACAGGCATCATCAATTCGATAATTTACACGTAATATTAATAAGCATATTTAGTAAAGATAATATAATAAAGTACATTTTTTCCCTAGCTATGTAGGGTACACCAATTGTATAGGCATGCATAAATATTGTTTTAATAATAATAATATATTCCTTCCTGTTTATGCAGGAACATACCTATTGTACAGGCATGGATAAGTTATTATATAAATTACACATAATTTGATGTATAATGGACTTACAGTTTGGTTGTTCTTTCTGACATTAGGGTCAGTCGGAACAGTCTGCTATAAAGTCTGTTTGTGTAGCACATAAAGAGATATAGAAATATTGTCTTCGCATTAACAAAAAACCCAGACATCAGATGAATGTAATACAGATATATGGGAAAAATAAAGCTTGAAGTCAATTCTCCTACATAACTTTGTTGTGAACAGCACCCTTGGCTTAAAGATTATTGATGTATTATATTGAGATCAGTGATATATTTATTCCATTTTTCAGCAGTCTTATCGCAGTTTCATAACAGGAAAGAAATTTGATCGTGGAGGCTAAAATTAGATAAAGTCATGCTAAGTTGTTTTACTGCATCAAATGGTCCCGACGTCGATTCTAGAATTCTCCATTTGCTCCATTTGTGTCTGCATGGCGGACTGTACTCGTAAGTTGAGTAAAATGTTGAAAACCAGTTGCTTCTTTATTTCAGATCATGAATACTCATTTACATCGTGTCCGCCAGCTTCTTTAAATGGTAGAATTGGATCGTTCCTGGAATTTGAGTGATTATAGGATAAATGGTTTGGAATTAATCATAGCAGTTAGAATACAGTTAAACATGCAGAGAAGTACTTTTGATTCAGCAACCGGTGAATTTTTTATTCTTTTCGATCTAGTACCAGAATAACTGCGAACCATTCCATTCAATATGTCGAATAAGGCACGCAGGAGGAGATCATTACCATGGAATGAGTCAACTTGATCTGAGATGCAGCTTTCAGCATGTTTTCGTTATATCATAGATATCCAGGTTTATTGGCGCTGTAGAGGCAGTGATTTGGATTATAACGTAATCTACAAAGTCTCCGTGTCCATTTGAAGTATACATATGCTTTGAAAGGATTACTTTGTTGGCTCCTACCCCCACTGAGTGTTAACAACAGCTGCTGTGGGTTTATGTATTTCCTCGCCTTTTTGGATAAAACATCGCCGCATTCTTTTTGGGTAGGAGACCAGTTGGTGGATTATAAATGATATCCAAGTAACTTTTATCTTTTCATGTGGTGTTGCGGTAAGTTTCTACCTTGTTTTCTCATATTTCATTCGTATGTTGATTATGGTTCGCCCTTTGTATCAGGCAGACATAGTTTGATCGACTCTTGGTTGAATGGGTGTTATTGTCATGACTGCTGCTTTTTTGTCTGGAATTATAAATAGAGACAAAACAAACAACAGGTGTAGTCTCTGAGTTCATACATTAAATGGGCCTATGATTTCTGAAACTCTCTGCAGTCGTAAAAAGGAATATTTTCGTGTATTATTTCCATATATGTTAGTTTAAGTGTCTTGACATTTCACATGAATTATTACGAAGGGAGGCCTGCTATAAGAGAAATTATGCATAGAAATGACTTTGATTTTTGTTCCAGAGGGCCCATTATTTGTGAGGGTTTTTGGTTTTCAGGTTTAAAATTGACTTCAGTCAACGGTTAATGCTACGTCAGTTGTTCTGTGGGATTCAGGCTTTTGACGGAGAATAAACCCACAGTCGTTAGTTAGGTACATGTTCTGAGGAGCTTAGGATTTTTATTTTCATCCATGGTTGATGAAATCTTTCACGACACACCGAAGAAATCACATGACGAATGAGACAAGAAGCTGAATTTTGTGGTGATTATGTCCATTTTGGCAAAGTATGTAGTTGAAATTATCCAGCCAAAGATGTGATCCTAGTGAAATTTACATGGTTAAATGGAATTTGAGAAGGCCGTAACTTCCTACTTCATCAAAATGGCATTAGCTTATCTTGATATCAATGTGCATTGGGACAAAAAGTACACTGTGGATGGTCCTTCTGAAATGTGACAATGCTTATAGTTAGTATCACCCTTCTGTCGGAAAGTAGCTTGTAGCTGCACTCCACCAGTAGTACACCTGGTACGTAAGTTATATCAGTCCTAATAATCATTCATTTTCAGATCAACCCGATATTCTTAGCCCCTTCAGAAATTATCTGTGGCTGTGATGGACATGGAAGTTGCACTCATCACTCATATTTTTTAAACATTTATTAAGGAGGCAGTGAGTACACCTCCCAAAACGACATAACCAATTTATTTGCTTAATCCTCTGTCACGGAATAGAGCCGATCTTGGCAGATGTGGGGGATAACTCCAATTACAATGGTCACAGCATACTGTACTGCATTCTACCTCTTCAACCAAAAACTGAACAAACATGCGAAAATTTCCAAGTTTACTATCAATATAGGAACTATAGAAATGTGACTGGGAATTCCTGCTAGTGCTCCCGAAGGGGTCCTGACTGGGATGAATGCTTTAACAACCATATCTCATGCATGACAACCGGTTCAGTGAGAGACACTATTGCACCCCTCAAATTCACCCTAAAGACACCAACTCCATTTACTGACCGCAAAACGCGGTTAAAACTAGGGAAACTGAAGCTGAAATTTTATGTATTTAAAGAATGTAAGGTATTGCACCAGATGCGTGCAAATTTTTCAAACCTTGAGGAACAGCATGGAATGAAGACACAGCTCCAAGAAAATAAAGCCCTAGGGGCACCTCCAGAACTCAGGAACTCTACAAGATCTTTCGAAAATCCCAAAAAAAATGTAAAGACAACAATGTTAGCCGCTCTGAACATGTGGATGTAATTTATAATTGTCCTCAGATTATCAGTGAACTCCTCAGCCAGTGGTTCTCCAGTAACATCAAAGCACATCCGTCCCCGATTCTCGACATAGCCCGTAAATTAACTTCAAGTAAGGTGGCATCAAATTCAGTATGCAATATATAGCCTCAGTGGTAAAAACATCAAAGGCTAATGACATTTGTGGGATAGACGATATACCGCTTATCACATGCAAAAACGGCACCACGGGTATAATAGTCTTATTACTTAGAATATTTACCCTCTCACTAGTGACTAAGATCTATCTTAAAATCTGGAGAACATTTATATTGCCTAAGCATAAAGCTGGAGACAAAACTAGTGCATGCAATTGTAGATCCGTCAATATAACACCTGTCGTATCAAGGGTCATGGGGAAAGCATTCGAAGTTATCAGACTAATTTCTGAAACGTAAACTCATCAACCAGCTGCAACACGAATTCCGCAAGAAATATCGTGATCCACTTGCCATATAGACTTTTTCAGAGAAGTCACATATAAAAGAGATGGGAGAGACTAGTAATTACCCTATTTCGATATAAGGAAAGCCTTCGACAGAGCTCCACACAGTCTGCTAGACAGTAGGTTAAGCTCACTAAGGACTTGCAGCCGCCTCCAGAAACGGATAAAATAATTTCCCTGTGATAGAAATCAATAAACAAAAATTAGCTCATTTAACTCCAGGCCTGAACAAATTGGCAGTGGTGTCGTCCAGGATAGTGTGCTGGGTCGTCTGCTTTTCACAGAATATATGAACAATATATGTGAATTAGGCGTAGGTGAACCAGTGATACATGTGGATGACTAAAAAGTGACCCATACGTGCACAAACACAGATCTCGGTACAACTATGAACTCTATACAAGAAATGATAAAAGTGGACAGATGATGTGACACCTAGAAATTCGAAAATGTTAATGAAAAGTGTGGTTGCATCTGCGTAGACTGTTCCGACCTAGAACTTGACCTAGTAATTCAAGGTCACAAAATCTGTACTAGGCCCAGGGCTGGAATATTCACTTAACCTATCATTTTCAGAGTATATCTCAAAACAAGTGTCAAAATCACGTATTGGCTTCATACTCAGGAACTTTACATAAATGAATGCAGAATACTTCTGCAAAAGGTTTGTATT